ATATCGGTATCATATATATCACTTATTTTGTGTGTGTTATGTTTCATCTGGCTGCACGGTAAAATAGCGTTGAGTAGGAATAATCCCAATTCCAAGAATTAGTGGGGATGAGCGCTGGGCTATGTGAGGACTACTGTATACAACATTTAAATGCATTATATGCTAAGTGTATTATATTTGTTAATAAAATTATTATTAATGTAATATAAATATACGCAAAATTACTTATTTTAATATACGAACATCATACTTGAAAATTATTGCTCAATATATTTGAGCAATTATTTTTTTTTCTTTTTTTAATCAAAAATGAGATTAAATCTAATTTTGAAATCTACTTTAATTACCATGTTTTCCATAATAGTTTTGACTTCTAAACCTTGATGAAATCTTCATTGTACCTTGATTTTTTTTAACTCTTCCAATCAGATATTGGTACCGGCATATACAATTTCGGCAATCGGCTAATATTGGTATGCCGAGAGCAATACTTTACACGTTATCACATGATACTTTATTTATACTACAAAAATTCTCAGTCTTCAATGACCATGTATTTTTATAATTAATTACTAGTTGTGGCTTCCACGAGGTCCTTTTTGATTTATAAACACGTGTAAGTGAATTCTAGGCTCCATAAGAATCAATCGGAACTTGCTGCCCTTATCTTTCTGATTCCTTTCCAGATGTTTTCTAATAGCAACAGCTTTTTTGATCAAATAATCTTCTGGCAGATCTGATATAAATCTTATACTTTTGACAATTCTCAAAATTTTGTTTGTCCAAATGTGGTAACGCACCTATGCCATTCCATGGGAATATCATATCTAAATTTTATCATCCGCCTAAATAAATACATTAAATAAATAAATGTAATAAAAATATAGCATATATTAACTTGTTGACGAGTACCTATAATAATATGACAAAATGCCATACCACCTCAAACGTCGCCATTTTTAATATTGCAAACTATTCATATGATAAACAATGATAAAGCATTGAATCTTAATCAGTTTGCTCAAAAAAGATTAAACCTGAACAATTTTGATAAACAAAATATACGAGAAATAAAGGTAGTACTTGCATTATAACAAATATTTTTTTATATATTTTTAAAACTTTCAATAAACTAGCTATATCAAATAAAAAAGAAATTACCAATTTGGGATGAAGTATGTCCTTTTTTAATTAATTTATAAATTAATTCTGTACAGTCCTTTGGTATTAATTTCAACGTTGGGATCTATATGGTATTGCTGACTGGTATATACCCTTTCTGCAATGTTATGAAGTATTATTATTAAAATATCCAATCCTTTTAATGCCAGTTATGCTATTGGTTACGTATAGACAAAAATGATATCATTGATGTGAATAAAACAAAATACGATTACTTCTTACTACTTGATCCCTTCAGAAATATTAACAATTGAAGTTATGTATGCATTAAAAAAAAAATAAAAGATTTATAAAAAAGATAAGCTCTTCTTGATTTCAAATTTAAAATTATTTAGAATATGGTTGACATGTATTAAAACATATAAATTATACTTAAAAAAATGTAATTATTCATATTTTTGAAAAAAAATACATGGACTCTCGAGAAGAAAAGATTATTGTGGCAACTTTTTATACAAAAAATTTATAAAATTATGCTCTAATAGCAGAAAAAATTAAAAAGCATGCAAGAAAAAACTAGTTTTTAAAATTAAACGTAGTTATAATTTACATTAAAATTAAATTACCCTGACACGTGCACACCATCTTTGCGTCTATTTAATCCAGTCAGCAAGCGATAGACTATATAACTAATGGCAGCTCGCATGTAGACACTGTGGAACTGCAGCACCCTCTATTTCCACTTGATATTATATACATAACATTTAATATAATGAGTCCTTTTTTCTTTATATTTGTACAATAATATTGTACAAGTTTCAACATTAAATTTAACATTAAATTTATATTAGCTAATAATTAAACTCGATATTTTAAAACACGAAATGCTTTGTGTAGTATATTTTTATTATTAAATATCTATGTTATATTTTATCTGTGGTCTTTCTTTTGCTACAGATAATATAAACACAGAGATACGTGTATAAATATAATTTATCATTATATCTATATAAATCATAAATATAATGATATAAATAATCTGATTGTTTATACTCTATCGATAAAATCAGAATCTGTTCACAAAAAATACTTATCGACCTTGTCACTACGTGGCGCATATATTTAAGAATTCCATGTAAGATTGGCAATCTTTTGACACGCCATTTTAAAGTGCACTGTCATCAGCGCGCCGTGAAACATAAATTAACCGCGTGTAGTGTTTTAATATATTTATCAAAACAAGGAGTTCGAAATATCAAGTATGTCAGGTGGAGCTCTTTTTGGAAATAATGCCTCACGCGGAACCCCGAAGAATTTGGTCGAATTTAAAGCGGGGAAAATGACGATGAAGGGGAAGATGGTTTATCCAGATATTCGAAAGGGCCAGCTTTACGTTTACCAATCCGACGATTCATTGATGCATTTCTGTTGGAAAGATCGTGTATCAGGATATGTCGAAGATGTAAAATATTTTAATTTATTTATTGTCTTTAAAATTCATCATAATTTGAAAATATTTATTATTTTTGAAATTGCTATACTTCTTTCAAGCTTCCTTGGGATTTCTGTGAGCGTCTTACAAACGTACTTGGTCTTTTTTTTTTTATAGGATTTGATTATCTTTCCTGATGATTGTGAATTTAAACATGTTCCTCAATGTAAAACTGGAAGAGTATATTTGTTACGATTCAAATCATCAAACAAAAAATTTTTTGTTTGGCTTCAGGTAAGATTAATGCTTTTAATATTAATTATTAGATTTCAGACATCTGTTTATAGCTTTTTACAAATTATATTATAAAAGGCTAATATTTGTGAAAGATGCAAGAGAATTCTAAAATTACAAAATTAATATCATAAAAAATATTATAAAATAATATAATTTAAAGGTATATTATTTAAAATATATACATGTGTATTTTACGTAGTTTGGGAAAATATATATATAAGATGAATATATTGATTCTGTAAAAATTGATAAGACATTTTAATAATTAACTAATGTCATATGATTTGTTTATCTGTAGGATCTTAAAACAGATAAAGATGAAGAATATTGTAGAAAAATTAATGAAGTTCTTAATAATCCACCAACTCCTGGATCACAAAGAAGTGGCAGCACTAATCCAGAGGGGGATCTTCAAAATTTATTAAACAATATGTCACAACAGCAACTAATGCAATTGTTTGGTGGTGTAGGCCAAATTGGTTTAGGTAGTTTATTGGGTACAATGAATAGACCCCAAGGTGTGCAAAGTACTAGAGCATCTACAACAACTGCATCAACTCGAGTTACTACAAATACTTCAAGATCTGCTACGCAAATAGTCTCTTCAGCAGCATCTACTAATGATTCTTCTAAAACTAATAGTAATGATATTTGTTATACAGTTTATTGTATGATTTTGTATAGTTTATTGTATAATATTGTATAGTTTATTATATAAATGATCTATATAAATTTCTGCTTAGGTGATAATAAATCAACGTCACGGACATCGGGCACATCAACACCTGGATTAACAACAACAATGACAACGACGACAACGACAACAACAACAAGTACAAATAACAAAATCCAACTTAGTGATCTGCAAAACTTTTTATCAGAAATTCCAACATCTACAGGAACAGAATCTGTTGTTCAGGTAATATCTTTTATTCACATATACAACTTTATTTAATATATTTTATTTTTCCTAAGTTTACAGCTAATATGATATTGTTACTACAAAACTGCCTCAAAACATTAACATAAATAACTTTACTTAATATTTAGATTCTAACAACTAATCTAACAATCTATATATACTTAGAAATAAAAATATAAGTAGTCATTCATATCTCATCTAATGTATTGTATATTTTTTATTTTTTGTCCTATTTTTATTAAATTATTAAACCAAGGCTAACAATTATTGAATCATTTCAAACTTTAAAATAATCTTATAAGACATATATATATAGGATTAAGACAGGAGGCCACAAATTAATGAATTTTTACAATATTATTATTTTATAATATTATTATTAACTTTTTCACTTATATATGTATTTTTTCTACTCAGTTATATATTTATAATGATTAAATTTATTTATCTTACTTATATTTTAAATATTCAAGCTATCTTTAATTGTCTACTTTGGAAAAACATAATCATCAATTTATTTGAAATACCATTTTTATATTCAGTATGTTTATTAATATATAATATAGTATTTATTTTATTCATTTTATATGCATTAAAATTTAATTTTTTATAATCAAAATATTATGAAGAGGTATTTATAAAATAATCTTGTTTTTCTAAATGTTCTTTTTTAATTAAATTGTTAATTAATTAAAATATAAAAATTGAGCTAAGATTTTAATACCTGTTCTTTATTCTGTACAAGAGTGTGAATATTTTCTTAATTCTTATTTTAAGAATTAAGAAAATTATTTTTGCATTGTTACTATAAATGCATTGTCGATATTGGATAATATAGCTATATAATTTGCATAAATTCCATTCTGTTTCTGTCTATATAAGTTTTTTATACTCATTATTTTAACAAAAATTAAAATACTATAGTCCCAATTGTAACAAATAGGAAAAAGTGAGAAATATAAAAAATAATAAAATAAAAGGAAAAATAATATAAACACTATATAAAATAATATTTATTTATGTTTCATTTGAAAAAATGCTAATAATGAACATACTTTAATAAGATATTTAGTAAAACCAAATAAATAAAATATTTATTTTCAGTTTTAACACATATCTTAAAATTTATTTTATGATGCAATAATACAAAACATATTATGTATAACTCGTTAAATAACATATTATATATGTATATACATATGTGTACACACACACACACACACACACACACACACA